CCCCAACCCTTTTGCTCCCTGCTCTGGGCACCTGCCTCTTTCTGCAGTCTTTTTTCTGCTACTCCTTGGCTTCTTCTTACTGTTGTCTTTCAGCCACACCCCTAATCTTTGTATACGTAAGATATATAACACCTAGTTTTCTCAAATAAGGGCGAAAATTTTCAGAGGTACCGTGTGCACGTTCGCACGTTTAAGATCCTTTGATGGTCCCAAAATCGATAAGTGTAGGCTTCAGCCGCCACCCGGGCAAAATTCAAAATTAGTTCCTACCAAACTGAAAATGTGTGTATCCTGCTCGCTCATATCATATAACCTTATGTAGTTGCAAGCGCCGTAAAACACTTTCCAAAACAAAACAGTTGTGAACTACTTTTTCCGGGTTGCCTTGATAGTCGAAGCAGACTTTATGTTGTTGAGGCTAGAGAGGTGAGCAGAGTAAGCCCGATACCCCGTTCGGACTTCTCTGTTGACATCCACCCCTTGACGCTCATATGACCTTATGCAGTTGTGAGCGCTGTAAAACTTTACTAAAACTAAACTTAAAAAAACAAAACATTTCCGAGTGCGACAGAAACCAAAGACAACTCACCCTGTCTCCTGGAGGGCCGCCCACTCCATCGAATCCAGGTAGACCCGGTTCTCCGCCTTCTCCCTTGGGGCCGGCTGGTCCCGGTTCTCCCGGTTCTCCCTGCGAGAAAAAGCAGATGACAATAACGACAAAGCGCTAACGAGTCTGGGACAGCGAGGGGCAAATCTATACTCTTACCCCCCCCCCCTTTTTTTTTTAAAGTGTAGAAACGAGTATGGGACAACAATGAGCAAAACTAAACCCCCATCCTGCAAGCATAAATGACAGCGAAAGCTACACCCCCCCCTAAAAAAAAGAAAAAGAAAAGAAAAAAGAAGAGAATAACGAAACCCAACGAAACTAAAAAAGTAAACAAAAGAAAACAAAACAAAGACAAGGACAGTTCCTTGGTAGATTAAAATTGGATTTTTGGAAAGATACCTACAATGATTTTAAATCAGTATAATTTACTTTTACTTTTTAAGTCGGTAAGAAGATGAATAAATAACTTGAAATTACATGTATGTATATAGGCCTAGACCATAAGTTATCACTACGTTCGATCTAGATCTACTGTAAGTTTACAGGGACGATGCCTTGACACAGACTGTGCACTTAGTCGTATACAGCTATGCCAATAGATAAATAAATAAATAAATAAATAAATAAATAAATACATAAACAGATGGATAGAGTATAGATAGATAGATAAATAAAATAAATAAAAGCAACTGCTAATGTTCTCACTGCTTGATCGTACTTGCCAACAGTCTAATTGTTCGCTACTTTGAATGCAGGAGAAAAAGTCGAACTGAGCTGTAAAGTCGTCTACAAAACAAAAACAGGAAAACAATCTAACTGCTAACAGATGAGAAGCCATGAGTATGTTAGAGTATGCTAGGTTTGTGCTTGCTGTTGGTGGTACATGCGTTCATACATACGTACATATTATAAGATAATGACTCAGGTTTACATGCATACATGCAGCATGGGCGCACTATATTGTTATGTTGTACAAACACACACACACACACACACACACACACACACACACACACACACACACACATACACCCACATACACACACACACACACACACACACATACACCCACATACACACACACACACACACACACACACACACACACACACCTACACACCCACACAGACGCACATATACACCTACACATGTGCATACACATATACACACACATACAGAAGCACACACTCTCACGCATAATGCACACACAGACACCATAATACTGCTACCACTCATGCACAACTTTCATTTTTTAGTAATTATAACAGTTCGTTCTTCAATGCCAGACGATGACCAAAGCATCTGCAGAGAACAATTTTTTAAAAAAGCGAAATAGAAGAAAGAAGGTTTCGGACAACTTTGGGCTTCTGTTATGGCCATTGATACCTATTTTAGCAGAGAAGAGTTTGCCACAATTTGGTCATTAAATTTTTTTTAAACTTCATTTCCACTCGTGGGTACAAACACCTACATAATAATTCCCTCTGTTTGACAGTCACACACTTTAAAACAAACACTTTGATCTCATGTTTTATTTCTGGGCACTTGAAAACCTCGTCTCACACCATTACACATCTTTGCTGTGAATTATTATATTCCAAATATTGCTTTCCTCGCCATGAACTTTTCGAAGCACAGCTAAGGTATTAAACTCACACCCTCACATTTAAGCTATCATGTCGTAGCCCAGCTAAGCTATTAAACTCATCCCTCACATTAAAACTTGAGCTAACATGTCGTAGCACAGCCTAGCTATTAAACTCACACCCTCACATTTACGTTAACGTGTCGTAAAACACACGCAGGTTTGTCCTCAAATTACCTGGATAATTAAGAAGTGTAAAACACTCACACCTGTTTAGAACGTGTGTGTATTTGTTAACCCTCTCACCGCTGAGATATACTTTCACCAGTTTGTACTGACAAGATAAAATGGTCATCCAAGCGAGATTTAAACAAAGCGATAGCACCGTTCCCTTTATTTAGAAGCAAACTATTGCTCAAACGTAACTGCATCTCCTTAGACTTCTCATGTGAACTTGTAGATGAAATAGTAGAGACGCGGGTATTAAATCGAACCGAGGATACCGAATTTATTTTTGGATGCCTTGGATCGAACGCAAGCGGGTATATCATACGTCCACATAGCTGTGAAGAGGTTTAATGTAATTAATATGTACCTACAGTGTGGTGCTGTTAAGTGGCCTCTGGTATGATGTATGTATGTATGTATGTATGTATGTATGTATGTATGTATGTATGTATGTATGTATGTATGTATGTATGTATGTATGTATGTATGTATGTAAGC